ACACCCCAGGGAGGTCTAGCCTGGTGTTCCCAAGTCTGGCCTCCAGCTTTCCCTGGACCCTCTCCCGCCAGGCTTTCAGCCACAGCCTGTGCATGTGGCCCAGGAGCCCCGTCCCCTCCATCACCTCCAGCCCTCTGTTCCACTTCTCCCTCACCTCCTTGGCAGACCCTTGGGGTGCCCAGGGGTCCCCACTTCTCTCTTCCCATGCCCCAGGATGAGCTGCCGAGGGGGTCTGGCCTCTGGACGGGAATCCCCTCTGGATACCGGGGCTCCCACCTTCCCTGTCCAGCCTGGACGGCCCCGTTTCACTGTTCCGGCTGCCCCATGGCCTGTCCCCAGCCAAGTCACTGCAGTGATTCACTAAACTGCCTGCCGGTCAGAAACGGGATTCGCCTCATGTGCAGTCTCCTCACCCACCAGCACAGGCGGGGCCAGGTGAAGGGACAAACGAGAAAACAGCACCCAGAGGCGCAGTGGCAGGAAGCCCAGCGTCAGGGCAGGGGAGCCAGTGAGATCTGCCCGGCAGGGCTCCCTCCTGGCTCTGGTTGCCCCCAGGCCCTCTAGATTGAAGCAGCTGGACAGCAGCCACCAGTGACCAGATGTGGTCTGCAGGGCCAGCCTCCAGAGACCAGGCGCAGAAGGGGACGGCCTGGCATGAGGGCGCCGGCGGGGGTCACGGGCACAGGAGAGCAGCCAGACCAGGCGCTGGTGGCTCTGCCTCCGGAGTCCGCATCCCACTCCCAGGAAAGCCCGCGGTCCTTGCGTGGCTGCACACGCTGGCATGTCTGGGCCCCGGCTTCCATCCGTTTTTGTCCTCTGAGATGCCCATCCTTTTTTGTAAGCTCAGCTATTCACTCAAAGCAAGTCATTACATGTCACCTAGAAATTCAAATATTATGGTAGAGGGAGAGGTTTGCAGAATATTAATCTGCTCTATTTCCAGAAGCAGAAGGTCCAGCGTTCAGTAAGTGTCAACTGAACAAATGGATGGATAAATGGATAAATGAGCCTGTTCTCGGTCATAAACTACAAATTTCCTTTTTCTTTTTTTAAGGAAATACTTTATCTTCACTTTTGCTTGTCTTTTTATTTTGCTGACTATCAATTTGCATTCTATTTGTTGGACATTTTTTTCTTCTTTGAAAACAGTAGACAAATCCAGGTTTTCTTCAGAAAGCTAGTGAAGGTCTTCTAACGCCCAGCCAAAGCCACGTCCCAGCCCAGAGGCGCGCCACGTGCTCATGGCATAGGCTTCAGGCCCGCGGCGGACGGGAGGGGTGGCCTGAGGTCCCTTCCCTAGTTTTGTTTTGCTTTGTGCGGGAGTTGCTCAGTGAATATTGCCAAATACGCATACAGTCTGTTCAGGTTTCTATGTATTTTAAATCTGTCCTCATGTCAAGTTTGCTTTCCAGAGGGCTTGGACCACATTAACCCAGCTCCTCACCGAATCCCTCCATCAGCGCCATGTTTTTGGCTTTTATCAAACCATTTTTCATATGGATGCTTTTAAGTCGTATGGATCTTGCTTTACTGAAAACATTTTTCTTGAGACTACGGTGAGAACTTTGGTTTAAAGTTAGTGCACGTTCATCTGTACTATGAAATAGGATTCAGCCAGAGAAAGGAATGAAGCACTGATACGTCATAATGTGGGTGGACCTTGAATTCCTTACACTAAGTGGAGGACAACAGACACAAAAGGCCAGCATGGTGTGATCCCATTCCTATCAACTATGTAGAACAGGGGAATCCACAGAGACAGAAAGCGGACCAGTGGTGGCCAGGGACTGAGTGGAGGGAGAATGGGGCCTGCTGGCCTCATGGGTACCAGGTTTTCTTTAGATGAAAATATTTTCACCTGGAGAGAGGTGGCGTTTGATAGAAGTGGTTCTTCTGACGGCCTCACAGCAGGGACCTCCCAGCCTCTTGTGCACAAGACTCAGCGCCCCCTCTCCTGGTCCTCATCCCCTTTAGCACCTGCTGTAATGCCACGTGCCCACCAGCCAGGCACACCGCCATCCCAGAGTGGGTTCTCAGCTCTCCGATGGCATTCTCCTCCACTCAGCTTGTGATGCCCTCTCCCCTGCACACAGCCTTAGCCCTGACGTCCCCCAAGCTGTACTGACGCTGAAATCACACCCGCGACCCCACCCCCTGCCTTATCACAGCGCCCTGCTCTCATAGGCTGCTGCTCACACCTCTCATTGCAACACTGCTTAATCCCACCTCATTGACCTCCATTTATGAGGCTGTTACCTAGTTCCCTGTTTCTAACCAGCAGCCTTCTTCTTATTGCCATTCTGTTCTGCCCTGTGTTGTTCCGGTCTCCCAGATAACTGTTCCCATTGGTGCACAGCAGCCCCGGTCCTCAGGATGTACCTGGCCCCTGGCAGTTGTTCGTCCAGTAAATGCTTGTGGAGTGCCTGCTCTGTGACAGGAGGATGCTGCCAGGACCTGGGGAGGCAAGATGGACAGGGACTGCTCTTGGGTACTGGGTTCCTTCTTGGGGTAACAGAAATGTTCTGGAGTTAGTGGGTGATGGTTGCATCTCTTGTGAGTATAGCAGAATCTTAAAAAGGGCAAATTTTATGATGTGTGAGATTTATCTAAATGAAATACAGTTTTTAAGAAAGAGCCTCTCCACAGAGCTAAACATAAACACATTTATTATCAAACTTTGTAGCGCTAATGTCAAATACAGAACAGGTATGACATCAGCTTAAATAAATACATACTTTAAAAATCATAAAATATTTTAAACCATAATTTAAAATACTTTATAAAACCCACACACAGACGACATGTACATCTCACACAGCTATTTCCAATGCAGTATGTAGAAATATTTACAACGTTTGAACAATTTCAGAGAAAACAATAATTCTTCCCACAAGTAGCTTGATCACAATAGATGTGGGGTTTTTTGCTCTCTCCCTTATTTCCCTGAGTTCTTTTGCCCCCTAAAAACCTTCTGTTCTCGCCCTTGGCATATCCCTGTTTCCTTTTGGCCTTGCCACTACGCAGCTGGCACTTCTCTGAAGCACACGCTGAGTTAATTACTGCAAGTGTGGGGGAGCTTTGATTCTAAGGCTACAAGGTTGGACAGCGCTGGCAATACCGATGGGTAATTCACCATTGCCAGTGACAATTTATTATAAATAAATATAAATATGCTCATATAGGCTTTCTTCTCTTCAAGAACACTCAAACAGAATAAGACAATTAGGGAATAATTACTAGGCAGGATCACTCTTTAAAAATCCACTAGGCAAATCCTTTACATGGTGAGTTCCTGTCACAGATTTAAAAGCTTATGTAACATACAATGATTCTATGTTGACACATCACTTCTGACATTTTCGTAGAAACACAAAACACATCCACGTTTCTGCGTGCTTTGTTCAACACAGACATTCATAAAATTGTACCTTCATTTGTTGGCATTTACAGTTCTATCTTGTCAGAACATCTGGCCTCATAGAAGTTCTTCACCATGGAAACCACAGACCTCTGAAGATGGTGCCTGAGTGCACAAGTGTGTGTGCCCACCGGGCCTCGCTCTCTGGATACCACTCGTGTTCTTAAGAGCAACTGTAGTCAGACATTCAGAACTTTACACTGGCTAACATCATGCATTACTAAGGGACAGTATTTGCCCTTTTTTGGAATGAATTCATGCAGATGTAACACTAGAATTTGTTAGTAAGAAAAGATCTACGATCAGTAACTTTTATCCTATCGTTGTCCTAATAGTTCCCTATTTTAAAGCTCTTGCAACACGTGCACTGAATTAAGAGTTATGGGAGCTTCTCCTGGATCCAGTGTGAGCAGAAAGAACACGGCCGCTTGGAACGCTTTCCAAAGCCCCTCTCCTTGGCATCCTCAGAGCAGCGTGGTCCACGCTGTGCTTCGTGTTGCCCGCGCCTAGTACCAGGTCGGACTTGTACTGTCAACAAACCTTCCCTGCGCGGTCACCATGGGCGTAAAACATGGTCATTTTTGCTTTGCGGTGACTAATAGAATCTCTTTGGCCAGTTTGTTTCCTCTGAATTGGGGACCATCATCTTCACCCCCATGGCAGCAGCCGCATAATCGGCCACGGAAACACTGTGAGGAGCCAGAGAGAAACGATGCCCACAAAACACTGCGTGTCTCCGCTGAGGTGCCACAGCAGGCGTGGGAGGATTGGACATGGATTCTGGGCCCCCAGGGCCTTGGCCCCTTTGCTTTGCCTGGAGAGAAGGTCCTTTCCGTCCAGTCCCCGGACACCCCCAGATTCCAGGATGGGAGAGGGGGGCTCAGCCCCGCTGGGTGGTGCATGACAGCTTCGTGGGCAGCAAAGGTGGTGGGTCAGAGGCAAGAAGGGCCCAGACTCCAGGAGGGGCCCTGCCTCTGCTGTCTTTGGGGGTGCTGGTACTGCGCTGCTCCCCGTGGACCCGGGCTCCTGCAACGGGAAGGGTGCGCCGTCAGGACACTCCATGTGCTTTGCACCAGCTGTGACCACGAATTCACCTCCTAGCCCCACCGCCTCCCACTCTCCTTGGGGAGGTCCAGACGTGAGCATCGAAACCCCGCACGGCTGGGCAGAGGGCTCCTCTGCAGGACACTGTGCGTACAGGTCACTATGCGTTTGTCCAAGCCCGTGGGGTTTACAAAGCCACGAGGAAGCCTAACGCAAACCGCGGGCTTCAGCTAGTGATAACACATCGGTATCATGTTGCCGACAAGTGTAACACTAATGCAGGACATTCATGATGGGGAAACTGTGAACAGGGCTAAACGGCCCGTTAGAACTCTGCTTTCTGCTCACTTTTCCCATAGACATGAAACTGCACCAATAAATAAAGTCTATTAATTTAAAGAAATCTACTCAGAGGGGACTTGACCCTTCCAAATTGTCACAAAGCAGAGCAGTTAAGAACACAGATTCTAGAGCCAGACTGCCCGGTTTGAATAACGGCTGTGCTACTAACTAGCTCTCAGATTTCAGGCGAGTCATCTAATTTCAAATGTGTGCCTCATTTTCTTCTATCAAAAGAAATATATTAACAGCCCCGATCTTACAGAATTCCTAGCTTAGAACAGTTTCTAGAAAAAGTAAGTCCCAATAAGGGTGAGGTATCATCATTACTAACTTTCATACATGAAATGACTCAATAAGGCCAGGTTCGTATTCCTGTCCTGTCCTTCTGCACAGAGATGGAACGACTTTGCGTGAACTTCCATGAAGGTGGAGGGTCTCCCTCAAGACAGGCAGGTTTGGAGGGATCAAGGAGAACATGTGGAGGGAGTACCTTCCCTCAGACCATGTGTGATTTTCAAGCCTTACCTGATTGCTTTGGACTTAAATCAACTCAGAAGGCATTTGGTAGGACCCCGCTGACTGAAGGCTTTGGTAGCTGCTGTGGAATAAATCAGAACACTAATAAACCGCTGTTTTCTGACACGAAGAGAGAAAAATGTATAGCATGTCCAATGCCATGCTTTGTACGAGCATGCAGCTTACCTGGCAGGGACGAATTTCCTCGCTGCAAGAGAAAGAAGATCATTAATTTAGACTAAAGGGCTTTCAAGGACGCATCAAACCCAGAAACAACAGGACTATTCGTCAGAGGTTGCAAACTCAATGGCTTCAGGGCGCCTGTGATAATCAGAGCACACGCAGCTCCATGGCTGCTGGCGGGAGAGTCAAGCACACCCACCCAAGGAAGGGCACAGGGGCTCGTGCAAGCCCGGCCTGCCAAGTCCACCTCCCAATTTTTCATAAGAAGTCCCAAATCTGGATTTTATGTGAAATTTTCTACTCTGTGAATGTCAGAACTGAATTAAAAACATGTTTAAATACTCTGTGGGCCAAACAAACCCCAGGTGTGGCTGAATGTGTTTGGGTATCCCTATGAGGTGCTCCAGAATTCCTGTCTTCGAAGTGACTTTTCTGGAAACATTTCATCCACCGGCCTGGGAGCACCAAGCTGGGCAGCCTCGCTGCACTTCTCCAGGGGCCTCTCAGGCTTCCCAGTGCACACAGCCCCTGCAGGTCAGCGCCAGCACCACGCACATCCACATGTCCTACAACTCGCCCCGCTGTGCGCTGTGCTATAAGCTCTTTCCCTGAGACTTCTGCCTAATTATTGTGCAGTTTATTAGGCTTATCTAGTAACTAGCTTCGAATCACTGTTTAAATCTGCAAGAGAGAACATGACTCATCCACGACAAAAAAGATTTTTTTTCAAAAGCGTTTTTAGAGCACATTCACCAACTCCCTCCTCACCTTTTCTCCGCAGGCGTTTCAGAAGCCAGAGCAGAAATGATGCTAATGTCAGGAGGGAAGTCCCAGCAGCAGAGAGTCCAGCCACCAGGGGGACGCTGGACTCGGGGGGAGCTAAGGAAACAGGGGAGGTGGACTGTCAGGAGAAGGAAGGGAACTGGAGGCCTCTGTGCTGTCCACTTGCCCTTCACCGCGTAGCTGTGACCCCTGTGCTTTACGATGTCATGTGCAGGGCGGAGGATGCATCTAGGTCAGCGGGTGAGGAGGAGGCGCTCTTAAATCTTTGAGATCTGCCCCAAAGCGCCTTAGCTAGCGGGCCTCCCACCTCTGCTGGCAGAACCACACCCCGCGTGGCCCACCTGCTGGCACCCCCTCACTCACCCCCTTTGCCTCCTATTCTCCCCCCAAGCTCTCCTTTTCCAGTTGTCAGAATTCCACCCATTTCATCAATAAGGCGCCTCCCCTATTTCTTCTCTAACCCCATCAAATTCAATATTCCCCAGCTTGTTCATCTGGGCTGGTTAAATGGGTGGTTCATTTTTTTAGCCAGATAACCTCCCTTCTTCCCTCTAGTTCCCCAGGGAACCACCATCCATGTATGCTTCACCTGCACAGGTGGGCAGCACCTCAGACCAGTGTCCTGCGGCACCACACGTCAGAGCGTCAGAGCCATTGAGCTTCCAGCCCTCAGGACACGCAAACGTGCACATGGCACCAAACACGGGCTCCCCGCTGCAGCTCACGCTGACCTTGGTGGGAGCGGCCAGGCTCGGACAGCGCACCGCTGTGAGGGAGAGGCACACAGGCAAAGGTTACAATCTGCTGGAAACTTGTAAACCTGGCTGAAACGTGTGACTACATTTAACTCATAAGCGCTCCGTTCAGCACGAGGCAGGACCAGGCCCCAAGGGGAGTCCGGGCCCAGAAGTGCATGAAGCCCCTGAGTTATGCCCCTGTAAGCCGGGATGCAGCCTACCTTGGCAGGAGGGCACCTCCTGTGTCCACCGTCCCTCAGGCGTGCACTCGAGGTGAGGGGATCCGTGCAGCTCAAAACCTTCTTCACAGCTGAAGGCGCAGGAGGACTTGTAAGTGAACTGCCCCGTCGGGGGATGCGAACACCTCACTGCGCCCCCCCGGGGCTGGCGGACGGTGTCACATCTCACAGCTGGAAGACATGAGCAGCTACGGTCAGAGTCCACACCAGGCAGCAGCCAGGGCCCTAGCTCTTTGCTGGTTCTTATCTCAAAACAGAAACAAAACCCGTACCTTCACACGTGGGCTTCTCACTGTCCCATTCCCCTGTGGCGCCACACTGGAGCTTTTGGGGTCCCTTCAGCACAAACCCCTGCTCACAGGAGAACTCACAGCTGGACCCACTGTGGAAACTTCCAGAGGTACCAGGAAGGCAATTCACATAGCCTCTCTCTGGGCTGGACAAGGCTTCGCACTGGAAAGCTGAGACACCAAAATGCTGGTCAGAAAATGTTGCAGCAGACGGGGGAGTTGCAGCAAACGGGAATGCTGGGCACGCGGTGTGTGGGCCAGGTGCATGCTGGACAAGCATCGCCCAGAGGGCTCCTGATTATTCACTGTCCTCAAGGCAACCGGGAGGTGGGCTGTGTTTTCTCTGAAGGTTTTTCCTTCCTCCACAGTGACACTAATTAAAGGACAACCCGTTAAGGGTTGAATGACATGAAGTGAGGGTCAAGAGAAAGCTCTTGTTTATTTATGTGTTCAGAGAGCAGCGTATGGGCCCTGGCTGCTCACGATGATGCCAGGAAGGGAGGGAAGAGGGTGGCTGGTAACACGTGTGGCTCTGCCATTCAGTTCTGGCCTCGCGGCCTTCTGCCCCGGGGAGTCAGTCTGGGCTGCGTTTGGCCACAGGAGTGCCAGTCCCTGAGAGCGAAACTGCTTGTTTTCAATATCCTAGCCCTCACTCTAATGTAAATTTAATTTGGGTGCTGATGTCCTATTGAGGGTGCCCCTAACCTGACACCACCCCTCTGCACTACCCGTCATGAGCAGTTTCAGCAGGAAGGTGTGACCAAAGCTGTAGAATCAGGTCGTGTTCCCATAGCCCTATGTTTTGAATGGTCTCACGTGATTTCCCCGCAGATTCAGATTTCTGCCCACTCTGTGCCAATGTCTTGATGTTACATCAGCCTGGCACCGTTCAGAAGCTGGCAGTGTCCCTCTACTGCCTACAGTCCTTGCCCCAAATCACAGAGGTTCTTTTACATGAACCTCAAAGATGTAAGGTGCTTGCTGCCCATCCCACTGATACCATAGGTGAAGCAGGCATGTGGTTTCACTATCGTGCTCAGGTTTGAGGACTGCTGCTCATTAGGCACCCCAGGCTTACCCTCACAAGTGGGGGCTTGTTGTGTCCACTGCCCTCGTGCGGTGCATTCGGTCTGGGTCGGCCCCTGCAGCACGAAGCCTTCCTTACAGGTGAAGCTGCAGGATGACTTGAAGGCGAACTGTCCCGCGGGCGAGTGCCTGCAGCTCACAGAGCCGTCCTGAGGGTGGCCCATGGCGCTACATGTCACAGCTGTAATGTATGTACCATTCATGTTAGCAGGTCTGGTTGCCCATTTCAAGAACAGGTTGAGAAAAAGAAATCGTCACACGGAGCAGCTCTACCTTTACACACTGGCTCCTCGTTGTCCCATTTCCCAGATGAGGTGCACTGGAGGCGCTGGGCTCCCAGGAGCTCAAATCCCTCCTGACAGTGAAACGCACAGGTTGTGTTCCACGGGAAGCCTCCCGGGCTCTGGGGACATTCCACGACTCCGTTGGCAGGCTCTGTCAAAGCGCCACACTCGGCCACTGGGGATTTGAACAAGCACCGTGAATTTCACACAGAAATGCTATGTGCGCTTCCTGTTGAATTGGAGCCGAGTCATCAAGGGTCGGTCCCAAAGCCCGGGGTTAACTCCTGGGGACACGAAACCCACAGTAAAGCTTTCCTGCTTTTTATTGATATTTTTATCTTCTCTGATCGCTTTTTACATGGATGGTGCTGAGCGGTCTCTGAGCTATTTTATCAGACCTTTCACAGGGCTGTGATCTATTTTATTTTACATAAGGTAAAAATGAAGGGAAAAAACCCCAGATTCTAGATCAGGGTTTATGACGAGTTGTGATAAAAACAATACTGACATGTATGTTCCCTTATCTTAGCGCAGCTGGACCTAGAAGATCAAATTTGTCTCTGGCTGAGAAAGATAAGACAGAGAGAGGAAGAGATATTCCGACTCCTTGATTATCGTGGTCCTCGGTTAGGCCATTAAACGGGAGAAGCGGGCAACGAAAGAGGTGAGGAAGCCAGTTAGATTTCTCGGCTGTGGCTCCCCAGTTTTACGCAATCCCTTACACATCATCAGCGCCTTGGAAAGCCTCATTTCAAATAGAATGAAAACCTCTCTCAGGCCAAGCAGGTACGTATTAGCCATGCATACTGGCCGGGAGAACATGTTCTATTAAAAACAATAACAAATGGAACCTTCCCTGGAGTAAGTTGGATAAAAACTTGGGCCACGTGCGAGGAGTTGGAGGACGTTCTGCGCATCTGAGAGGGTTACCTGTGCAGGCGGGACGGGGCGCGCTCCCCTGGCCGGATTGGGCCCGTTTCCCTCTGTCCCGCCCCTGCTGGGAAGAGCCCTGGAAACTGGCTCCTATTTATCGTGTGCTGCCTGCCTGCCAGGCACCTGTTCACATAATCCCACCTGCCGGCCTTTGAAGCTGGTACTGTTACTGTCCTCGCTTTTCAAAGAGGAATCTGGGGCTCAAAGAGTCTAACGACCTTATCCAGACAGCTTAACTGCTTGGCAACAGACCTCGGGTTTGAACCAGGGGGGTCTGACTTCCTAACCTCAGCTCCCAGTCGCCCTCTGACATGACATGCCCCAGGGACCGGAGGACATGCCGACCCGGCCCCCCAGCCAGCAGGACCGAGGTGGACCCACACCTACCTTGCTCACACCTGAGTCCATGGAAGCCAGGCTGGCACCGGCAGGTGTAGTTGTTGATGGTCTCCACGCACTCGCCGTGGCCACTGCAGGAGGCGGGGGTGCAGGCGGCTGCAGAGAACACAGGCCCTGCTGAGGACTGCTACTGAGCTCGCCTGAGTCCCCTGGACTCCGGGGTCGACAGCATGCAACAGAGACGTCACCAGGCCTACCGAGTGCCAAGACGCTCACCGAGGAGCCTTACAAAACGCTGAGTTTTAGGCTCACCTATTCTAAGCTGAGACGTTAATGTGTGGATGTCAGAAGTACGGCTGCAAAGAGCACCAGGAATAGGAAATTCACCTTATCACAACTTCTAAGGCTATGTCCCCACCGTAAATAAGCCAGTCACTAAAGCATGTCCTGGTATGCATGGTACACTCTGTATGCGTGGACGTACATGTGCGTGCACGTATACATACACACATGGAGTCTTGCCTATGCTCATGCAAAGAAACAAATAAGGCATATTTTGTCAAATTGAATGTTCTAAGATCTTCACTTTTGGGACACAAAACGGCCACACTAGGGACCACATTTGGCACTGTCGGCGATGTGCCAGGACGCCCGCCGCCGCCCCAGGCTCCCTACCTTCGTAGCACAGGGCCAGCTTCTTCTTGTCACACCTCTCGTCGTTCCACCGGCCCGTGTCCGTGGCCCTCTTGATGTAGATCTCCACGCAGTCCTCATTCTCTTGTTTGTTGTTCGGCTCCCCCGAAGCCCAGTTCTCGGCTTCTTCGGTCAGAGGCTTCTGGGTCCCCACCCAGGTCCACGTGCTGTTGATCTTCCTGAGTCCGATCCAGTAGTAACTGGGGGAAAAGCTGAATTTGGAGTTCAGGTGTTCAATCTCCTCCTGGTTCTGAATGGCGACCAGATGCGTGTACCTCTGCTGACAATAAGCCCTGGCCTCCTCGAAGGTCATGCTTTCCGTGGAGGCACCGTAAGACCACGCGGCACCGTCTCTGAGCAGGAGAAGCGCTGCGGGGGGACAGGCAGGGGGAGGGAGGTGAGTCCTGCTGGTCCCACTCTTTTGAACGGAACTTCCCTTGCTGTGTATCGGGTCGCACAGCGGCCTTTGGGATAGCAAACTGTTTTCACTGTTTGCAGAGTCAGAAGGGCGTGGATGGAGAGACTGCCACCTATTGGGGGGCCCTCCACGTGGCACTCCACCTGTACTCACCCACTATACCCGTCATACGCCCCCCGTGCAGTGGCATGGTAACCAGAGTAACAGCTTTACGAGCGTGTAGTACACACCACTGAACTGTCTGAGGCACTTCCCACGAACCACGGCTGTGGTCCCCCGTAAAGCCCCTGGGAAGCAGCCCTTTCCACGGCAGGGAGCTGAGACACAGAGGCCAACAGCCCTAGCCCAGGGCACACCACACTGTGGGGAGAAGCTGGGATGCTCGCAAATGTTCTGCGATGCACAAAACCCCTACAGGGGAGCATTAGTCCGCCCAAATGTCAGCCGCGCAAGGATGAGAAACTCCAGTCTATTGACCTTGACTTACCAAGAGTAAGAGTGGAGAGAAACTGTGAAGCACTCATGACTTCAACAACTCTTTTCATCAAAAGATTAGGCTTGACGGCTTTTCTGGAAGGAAAACATGCCAAGCTAATTACATTAAGAAATGCCAGGCGGCCAGTTACCTGCCTCACTTCACAGCTATGGCAGCAGCAGATTTTAGGTGAAGGGCCCCAGTGTCCCAATCTTTGTTTCAGAGATGACTTGAATGCATAAATATGAAACTTAAGATTTTCATCATGTAGGCCAAAGAGAAAAGCCAGGTTTTGTTATAGAACCAAACAACCCTGGGTCCATGTGCCCAATGTGCAGCAAAGCCAAATGCTGACGTCAGGATGTAATAGAGAAAAGAGGTTGTTTACTGCAGGGCACCAAGCAAGAATGGGTATCTAATGTGTAAGGTCCCAAACCGGCTGCTGGCTGGCACACAGGGGCTTTTGAGGGGCACAGTTACAGGAGGGGGTGGGTGGTCAGCTGGTGCCCATTCCCACTGGTGGGTGCTGAGGTGACAGGGGGCTGCTTCAGGAGTCTCAACTATCACCTTTTCTCCAGGTGCTTACAGTCAGGTGTGGTGGGGGCGGGTCCTAAGTTCCTGTACAACATCTCAGGGATGCGTGGTCAAGAGATAACCTCGGGCCGGCGGGGGACTCAGCGTGCTGGGCCTGTTCGGTTTGCTGTCCCTGGGTCTGCAAGCTCCCTCTCTCTCCCCTCTCCAACCACCCAGGCGAATTCCCACCCTCTGGGCCATAATCCAGGGACTCAGGCTTCTCTCTTTGTTCATAAGAAGTCCAAGGGGCTTCATCCAAAGGGGGTCCCTGGGCTGTCCAGCTTTAACTAGTCTGGACGGAAGGAGAGCTTGCACAGGCCCGTTATCCGAAAGCCTTTTGCACATCTGGTCATATCAATAATCCCTGTTTCATGGCCCAAGGCTGATCTCACAAGACTCACCGTCTCAGAGAGGCAGTGCTGGCAGGATTCCTCTGCGCCGCTGGCTGTGTCCCCTGCCGCGCTTCCAGGGCCGGTGTGGAGTCAGCCAAGTACTGCAGAGCGCTGCCCCGGCCAGGCCTCTTTATGGGGTGCTTGCTTCCTGTGAGTAATGGGAGGATACGGCCCAGCCCAGCGGAGAGGAATTCCCCAGCCCCATCCAGACTTCCCCGGGAATATCCACAAGGCTGGAAATTAAAATGAGTTCCAAATCCCTGTCTTCAAAGCTCTCTCCCCTTTGTTCATGACTTTTTATTTTACATGAATCCTATCAGTCTGGCACGTGGCTCTTCATGCTAATAACATCAAAGGTATGTCTTCACAAAGCCTAAAAGCATGGCGCTGCAGTGGCCCTCCTGCCATTGTGGTTGTATCAGAATTTCACAGACACAGGCAAACAGAATAGTTTTGTGACAGGGAGCTCACAACTCCCAATTTTCTCACCCACAGCTGTCAGTAATGGGTCAGCCCTTATTTCTCTCTGTCTTCCTCACCAACGCAAGCCATTTAAGGCACTCTGTCTCACCAAGGAGCAGGGACAGGGTGCGTGTTAATCCTGATTCTGTGGATAGTGATGCTAAAAGACTAGAAATGGTGTCTCCCACTTAAATGTTCGAAGTAAAACCTTGTTTCTTAAAAACAAAGAAAACGGGGAACAGACTGAAATGTTCCTGCCTGGAAACCATTCATGATTTGTTCAGTGAAAAAATGAAGAGGAAAACTGCATATACTCATATTAAATTGACTTGAATACTTGTTTAAAAGTGTTCAAATACGAATGTGCAAAGAATAAAAGTGTTAACAGCTGTGGTCCCTATGCCACGCTTTCCAGGAGGCCCTGATTCAGGGGCAAATTTTCTCTGTGGCTAAAGGGCAACGAGGTGATGTTAGATTTTTTTTTCTCTGAGTTGCTTTTTTTTAATGAAGTATCACTGATACACAGTCTTATATTGGTTTCAAGTATGCAACACAGTGGCTCAGCAGTTCCCCACATTATGAAATGCTCACCCCCGCTAGTGAGGTTACTGTCTGCCTGCAGAGGAAGATGTTACAGAATCATTGGCTATATTCTCCGTGCTGCCCTGCCATCCCCATGACCAGCTTATAGTGTGACTGCAAATTTTTATGCCCTTTTTCCCCCTTCCCCTCCTCCCACTTACTCTGACCCGTCCCCCTTGGGAACCACCACTCACTTCTCAGTGTCTATGGTCTTCTGTTATTTTGTTCCTTTTATTTTGCTTTGTTTTTATACTCCACAAATAACTGAAATCATATGGTATTTGTCTTTCTCCACCTGGCTTATTTCACTGAGCATAATAGCCTGTAGCTCCATCCCATTTGCATGTTGTTGCAAATGGGAGGATTTCTTTCTTTTTTATGGCTGAATAATATTCCACTGTGTATATGTACCACATCTTCTTTATCCATTCATCTACTGATGGACACTTAGGTTGCTTCCATTTCTTGGCTATAAATAGTGCTGCAATAAACATAGGGGAGCGTATGTCTTTTTGAATTAGGGATTTTGTTTTCTTCAGGAAAATTCCTAGGAGTGGCATTACTGGGTTGAATCATATTTCTATTTTTAGTGTTTTGGGAATCTCTCTACTGCTTTCCACAAAGGTTGAACCAATTTACATGCCCACCAGCAGTGTAGGAGGGTTCCCCTTTCTCCACATCCTCGCCAGCACTTGTTATTTCCTGTCTTTTGGATGGCGGCCATTCTGATGGTGTGAGGTGATACCTTATTCCCTTAGGTTCACACTGAGAGCCTCAGAGGCAAACCCTGCTAGATGGAGGGATGGGCAGGGGGTGCGGAGTGTGGGACCTCATGAGTGTGGGTGCCTGGCCATCCCAGCCCACCGCCCCCCCTGTGCCCTGCACTCCAGGATAGGTCTGCACTCCGCCCCTGAGGCCTGGCTGCTGAGGGGCTTTCTCTGGGCACCAGGGTCGCTGAAGGGCCAAATCAGAACCTGTCGGCCCTTCCTGGAGAGACCCCTACCCAGGAAGGGGCAGGAATGGTGGAGGGGGTGCTGGTGGCCTCTTCCTCACCTGCTTTGCCTGTTGAGAGACCCCCGCATGGCAGGGGGGAGATGAGCTGAGGAAACTGTGTGAGGACAGATGACTGGGGATGTTACCCTCTCCCCAAATAAACCCAATTTCCCCAAGTAATGGGCTGCCTAGAGTGGCCTCGGGGCCCCATGAAGTCCCCAAACCCTGAAGAGGCAGCCTGCGGTGCTGCCCTGCTCAGCTTCAGCTCTGGCTGCTTAGGGAACCCCTCCCCACACCCCGTCCTCAGGGAGGCCGAGGGAAGAGGAAAGAAGACCCGAGCCGGGTACACCCGGGCCGCCTGGACTTCCCAGCTGCAGCGCCCCCTCCCCTGCATGGCCTTAACGGGGCACCAAGGGCTTCTGCCCCATTCATCTCTGCCCCAGGCCAGCTCATTCTCACCTTTGTGTGAAGGGAGCTCCGGGGGGAGTGAGAGGACCAGAAGAGGATGTTGGGCTTCCCTGGGCAAATGGTACAGGTTTACCCAAGGCCGTCCTGTATCCCGCAAATGGCTAGGGGCAATAAAGGCTGTGGACAGGAGGTCCCTGGGCTTAGAAAGCAGCCCTGGCCTTAACTGGACATGACACGACCATCGTCACCGTGCGGATCTAGCAGAGCGCGGGCCGTGGTGTCCTCGGGTGCCTGGCTCCCACACCCCCAGGAGGCACTGCTTGGTGGCCTCCCCCCAATTCCGCTCTGCTGACATCTGCAGCACTTCTGCAGAGTCTCAGGCAGGCAGAGGAAATCCCAATAAGGAGTCAATCCTATTTGCACAATGCAAGCATGATATTTCTTTGCACACCCCAAACTGTGAAATGAAATTAATGTCAGGGTACCACTGTGGTATCTAGCGGCATTTCTTGTCTTATCAAAACATAAGCATATTTGATGGAAAACTGGTCTGGTTCCCTCTAAATTCACTCCCCAGGAGGGCACATTCGCTCCCTGGGGATTTGTAGATACCTTACAGCATCTGGAGCAGGTGGGAGCCCTGGGCTTCGCTCTGTCTGCACTCCTACCCCCAGGGAAAGAGTGACCTTCTCTGACCTTCACACCGAGGGGGGTGCAGGCACTCGTCTGACATGTGTGTCTCCAGGGGTGACCCTCAGAGGCTTTGGCTTGGCAGGTCTGGGCAGGGGTCCAGGAATGACCCCTAATAGTACCTAGGGGACTACATGAGGCGATTGTGATACAGATGTCCAAACCCACCACACTCTGAGATGCTTCAGCCCAGGGCCCCCTGACTGGACGGGGCATCAGGAAGGCCCTGTGGCTGGTGCACACCTACAGGTCCCAGAACTTTGACCAACTATCACCCCAGTCAGTCCCCACACCCTCCCTCCTGGAAGGCTGGAGACCCCGTTTGTAACAGTGCTGGGCAAACACAAGGGATTTCAGGATGAGCGGGTGTTTTAAATTCTTATACACGGAAAGTAAATCATTTTTCACCAAAGAAAGAGAATTGCTGCTGATGTTGCCAAGGAAGTATGTCTATCTTGGTCATTGTCTTCACCCCTCTGATTCTAGAGGGTTCCGCAATTCTACCAATCCCCCTTTTGAACTTTCCAGATGATTCTCAGACTTACAGTTTAGTGTGTCTCCTTGCTTCCCATTTGGCAGCTCCTTATCTCAAGGTTTCCATTTGCTGTTTTAGGATCTAAGAACTCAGTAATGGGAATGTCTTCAAAATGAGCCAACTCGGTGAATTCCCGAAGCGGAAGACACCAGTGCGGGCGGGCTGGGGAGCGGACGGGGCTCTTCCTGAATGCAGCCAGACTGTTTGCCGACCCGTGTTACCAGGGGGAGAAAAATGTCCCTGGATTTCAGAAAAGCCCCTCGCTTGTTTTCCTTGGCCGTGGTGCCGCTTGTTTTGTAAGTCAGAATTTTCCTAAAGGACTATTATTAGCTTTGCTCTCAGTTCCTGTTATCAGAAAAACTCTGGTCGGGCTGCTTTTTGGATTCAAGAGATTGCTGTGTCCCCTCACTGGCTCTGTGACTTGACACAAGCATTCTTGTCTCTCTCAGTCTCAGAGATCCCACCTGGGAGCCCAGCGTGCTTGACCACACTCCCTGCCAGCTGCAATGTGCTATGACGTCCTGGGCACCTCCACTTAATCTCAAGCACCTGTTGTTTGTCCATGCTGTGAAGGTTTTTGATTAACACTTAATGACACCATAGGTAGAGTGCCAACTGTGTGCCAAGCACTTTATATACACTACTTTATGCAAATGTCATGAAATGGAAGGTGGACGTTATTAATTCCATTTTAGGGAGGGTGACACTCGGATCTGGAGAGGTTAAGTACCTTACTGCTTTTTCAGTTACTAAATGGTTTGAGCAGGGATTCAAACGCTGTCTGTGCTGGTCTAGAGCTGGTGTCCCATGTGACTGCTCACTGCTCAGGCTGTAACCTTGGTGGAGAGCTTACTGTGCTTGTTAGAAAAACCGTTATCACGACCTCCTGGCTTCCTGTAACCCCGCGGCCCTGTAAGTTCAGTGTCTGAGGCTGGGTTCCTTCCAAAGCAGACATCAGGACAAGGGTAAGGATGCAAGTCATTTATCTGGGAGGTAATCCTAGCAAACACTAGTCAGGGAATAAGGACGAGAAATGGGGGAAAGAAGGGATCTAGTAAAGGGTGTGTCAATAAGCAGGTACCACTCGGCTGTGCTGGAGAACTGGGGGGTTGCCCTGAGAGTACCCCAAGGAGGGGTGAGGGAGACACCAGTTCCCATCTGCCCCTGGCTGAGCGCTGATCCGGGGAGACACAGTCAATCCCCTGCAGTTCGGTGGGCTCCCGAGGCAGAGAAAGCCCCCCCACAGAGAGCGGCAGGTGCCTGTGGTTGGGACTGTCATGATCTGACTCAGATTTGTAAGACTGTCTGCATGCTGTGCTGGGACAAGATAGGCATTTATGTCAGTTTTCTGTCACGACTGTGACAAATTACTGCAAATCTGGTGGCTGAAAGCAACCCAACTGTACTATTTCACAGTTTCTGAAGGTGAGAGGTACAGG